ACAGCTTGGTTTCGTTTCGCTTCAGAGGTGTTTATGTAGCTCCACTGAAGAGGTCTGGAGAGACTGAAACGGATGTATGGGGATCGTGGATCGTCTCTGAACTAAAATGAAACATAGGTGTTTTTCATCTTTCATTTTACTCATATTTTGAGTACACGTAACCAACTTTCGTTGGAATTTTTCCTAGATGAATAAACAGAATGTGACTGCATATTGTAGTCTCCTTTATTCGTCATCTCCTTGCCTTAAAAATTGTAAAAGGCAGAGATTAAAAATGTAACTAGAAATTGGTTTCATTGAAAATTGGATGTAACCAGAAGTTTCAGATTTATTGTTTTTCTTATTTATTTAATAGCTGTTGCCAGAGCGTCCGATACAATAATTATTCTTATAGTTTGCTTTAAATAGAAAGCTTGGTTTAGTTTCGATTCAAAGGTATTCATGTAGCCCCACTGAAGAGGTCTGGAGAGACCAAAACGAAAGTATGGGATGGGAATGGTGGATCATCTCTGAACCGAAATGTCTTTAATTTTTAATCTTTTAATTCTACAAACATACAAAAAACGAATAGTACTAAAACACCTAATGCAATTTATTATTTTATTGAGAAATAAGCCACAATTTAGGTTGAAAATAAAATTTATTAACCTTTCTACCTGCACTTCCGAAGTCATTATCTAAATACAAAATATTAATAAATTAAACAAATTTTGTAAAAATAAAGTAGTCCCAGGAATGCAACTCATATATATATATATATATATAATATATATATATATATATATATATATATATATATATTGGCAATATGATTATTTTAAAGCCCTCTACTTTAAAATGTATAATATATGTATGAATTGTCAATATGAATGTATGTTTTTTACCTAGCAACATAAACAAAATTTGTTTAATTTATTAATATTTTTTATTTAGATAACGACTTCCGAAGTGGAAGTCGAAACGTCAATTAATTTTATTTTCAAACTAAATTGTGGCATATTTCATTTCCCCATAAAATAATAAATTGCATATGTCACAAAGAAATACAAAACAATAATAAATACCTAATTTTATTTTTGTTGGCTTATATTAAATATTAATGAACAATTTGGCATTATGAAAATTAATTCCTGAAGTGCAATTTACTTATTTATAATTTACAAATTAAGCATTTTTAAAATTTTAGAGAAAATAAAAATTTCATCATATAACAATAATGGAAGATTGACAGATTACTTTTGATTTACGGTCGCTTTCGATTTTTAATCGATAGTTATCAATATTGAATAATTACTATTCATAAATCGGCAAAGTTTTGATTTATATTTATATAAATATAATTACAAAATACTGCAGAATTTCTTATTTTGACATAAATTTAATTAACAATAAAGTAAACTTTGTACAATAGTTTTAATAATTAAAGTACCTAAATAAATTTTAAGTTCCCTCAAATAAATAATCCATTACTGCCGTCACATTATATTAATTTTTAAGATTTTAGTTTTTGATTTGGTAGATTTTAGTTCTTGATTTAGTAGATTTTCCCTAAACATGCAGTAGATTTTGTAAATAAAATGTGGCAACGCTGCAGAGAAGTGCCAGTCTACTCAGTTTAGCTTTGAATGTTGTTTGATATGCGGGTTTGTTGTGTAGCAATGAGTAATCAAAGCAGAAAAACTGTCGAACTTACTTTGAAAGATGCTAAAATGTCAGGTAATAACCATATTCATTGTTGAAATAAATATGTAAATATTTTGAAGTTCACTGATATTTTTTTCGTAATTCACTATATTTTGTATTTTTTATTATTTCTTGTGAGGAATATGAACTCTTTAGTTCACTTGATTCCGATCCTGATCCCATGTTTTTGCCAACCAATGATGAAGAAATATTATCCAGTTCAGATTTCTTAGACATAGAAGCATCTTCAGACATGTTTTCTCAGAAAATAGCATTATGCAAAGCAAAAGCAAATATCAAACGCAAATTGCAACCAACTATATTCCATTTCCATCATATTGATAGCACATTATGTATGCAAATCCCTAAACTGTTGATAGGGGTAACTCAATGAAAAATAAATATTTGTCAACAAGTTTACAGAAGTATATGGGAAAACAATTTTAAATTGAGTATGACCACCAGGTATAAAGGTAGAAGCGGAATAGAATACAATAGTTTTGAGGGTTACTAATCCCTAAATAAAGTTGCCAGTGTCGGAGTGATGGAGATTAAGAGGTACTAATGAATTTGCAAGAAATGTAAGATGTTTATTTTATTGGTTATATATATAAAATAATTTGTGGCCGTAACAGGGGCCGATTTGTAAAAAATGAATATTATTTTAAATCAAATTCCATTTCAGATTCACATCTTTCTTCAGAATCTCAGGAATCTTCAACTCCAATGTTAATTATTACCGGTTCCAGCATTGCATCAGTCATATTATCCAAATTCCACATTTTATTTTCTTCCTTGTGAGCATGACTAACAGCATTTTTACAATTTCTGGAGTTACTTTTGATAAAGAATGTTCTAATAATTGTTGTAAGTCTTATAATTTAAAAGTTTTGTTGTTGCGTCCGACTTCACCCTTTACTTGAGACCACATATTTTCTATCGGATTCAGATCACAGTGGTATGGGGGTAAACGTAAAATAATTACATCACGGTTTAATGCCATTTCATCAATTATACATTTTTTATAAGCTGCTTTATGTTGCCTTACAATAGGTAATAATTCCTTTTTTGTCGAATTCTCGTTGTACTCAACTGCGTGTTTATCCAACCTTTCGATGATCTCTCCTTTTTTCCATGCCGTTGTTGGCAATGTTTCTGCTAGTCTTAAATGGTAACTAGCATTATCCATAACTATGACAGAATTTTTTGAAATTAAATCCAACATTTGCTCAAAATATTCTTCAAAAACGTCAGCAGTCATTTCCTCGTGATAATCTTTGGTTGATTTTGAGGCAAAACTTAATAATCCCCCATTGACAAAACCGTATTCGTTTTAATATGGGTTATTATGAGTCTGCGTCCTTTCCAATGGGAATATTGTTTATTTCAGTAGATACACCTTCGATGAATGCCTGACGGGAACTTTTCACATTCGTACCAACCCATAGATATGGTACAGTATGATCTTCATTTAGCCAAGTCTCGTCCAAATAAAAAATTGTTTACCCTTCTTCTCGGTACTTTTTAATAGTTTTTAGATAATCTCGTCTCCAACATACAATGTACCCAATGTCTCCAAAATACGGATTTTCTTCTATTCTTTTGCCAACGAAATCCCATCTCTCTCAATAGTTCCCATAATTTCTTGTTGCTTATGATTGGTAACTCTTCGTTTTCTCTAATTAATGTTTGGATTTTGTCCAATGCTGGAATTTTTTTGTTAAAAAAAATAAGTGGACGCTGCGTCTTATCATGTTTTTATGTATTTCTTCAATTTCGAAGGGTATACTCCCTCCACTCTTCTTGGGAGATTAAACAGTTTCTCCTTTTCTTTCTTTTAGGAATCTATAAATTGCTGCTTCTCCAACCAATGTCATATTTGAACACATGTTAACGATTTCACGAACATTACTTAAAGGGCGTTGATGTACAAGTGCATCGTGTACATATAATATTATATTTTTCGCTCTTAGACTGAAGGCACTTTTAAAACTGTACTTAACCGGGATAAAACCTGTTGTCAACGTCATTTTTAAATGCAAATAACAAAATATCGACACCAAAAACGTAGGTAGGTAAGACATGAACAATGTACATCTACAAACTAAATGGAAGATGCAAACAATTTCTAATTTATATTATTACATAAGCTGTAATGTCATCTATCATTAGTGAAGCCTCATCAGTAATTCCAGGTAATCGTTCAAAGACGGTATTTTGTGTCAGGCGATAACTTGTAGGTATATAAAAACAATAATCACCTTTAAACTGCTGTTTACATTAATTTATTTTGTGAAACATTGAATTCTCTCGTTAACCACCCGTGTATAATTAACAATAATCGTGTGTCATATATACCGACGTTTTTTACGTAAAAAAAAGGTATAGTGAGATTAGTGGACACTTATTTTACAGAAGATTTTTTAAAAGATAATGAATTGTTGACGGCATCTTAAAATATTATTTTTTTTTTATTTATTCCAAAACAAGTATAGGGTGGCGCCTATGGTTTTTTGACCTGTTGAGGATTTGCATACATAATGTGCTATCAATATGATGGAAAACGACTATAAAATAATTTCAAAGAAATTGTGTACAAGGATTGTGTTGGATCAACCAAGCTGTTCTACATCACTCTTCTCCGATTTTCTGTTTGATTCTATAGCAACAAACGACAATAGGTTGGAACAGAACACTATTTCGCCTAAACATTTAAAAGAATTTTTTGATATTAAAAACTTTAGCTCAAACTCAATAGCAGAAACTGATTATTTTCAGAAAAATGAGGATAGAGATAATCAAAATATTCTAGAACCTGCATGGACGCAGCCAATTGGAAATCATCACGAATTTGAATACTCTGCAGAAGATGGATTATGTGGTACTTATACTGCAATACTTATAAATGAATTATAGACTTGTGATATAAGTGTGTTCGTACTTTAGTTGATATGCAGCTTGCAGCATATGAAACTTATATGCTGCTCAAATATTGTGTGATTATAACGATATAACCAATTATTCAAGACTACAAAGATGGGTTATATTTGGGTAAAAACTCGTAAAATAATATTTGTTTAAATTTATGTTACATTATATAATCTTATATATTGGGATGTTAAAGTTACCAGTGGAATTGGTAACATGGCAACGTAAGACTCTACATGAGGTTGCTGGTCCTGAGACAAAGTGTCTACAAGGACTTGTTGATAGCAACTATTCTAGAGATAGAGAGATAAAGATATGATTCAGTAAACATTAACATAATTATTTATTCAGCACAGACAAAAAATATTAAATTATTTAATTAAATTAATTTAAGCATTTATAAAATCTTTTTTTTTACTGTAGTGTCCGATAGTAACCATTATTGCTGTTGTGGCTCTTTCTCTAGTTAAACAAAACTGAAATAAAAAATTACTAAAACAAATGAATCAATAATTAACAAACAAAGGTATTAATTGTATGCATTTGTGAACAATAAAACCTTTATGAATTGAATTAAAATTGAACCTGTTTTGCTTAATACCACCCGCAATATTAATTATTTTACCTGATTACTTCCATTGGCTATAATGAGCTCCTTGTTAACAACAGCCAGCTTTTGTAATCCGGGATTAATAACATTTTCATAAAAAACTAATATTCCAATGTTGTTTTCTTCTATAAAAGTTGGTCCACAAAAGTTCAATATAAATTTTTTGAAAATATGTTGAAAATCAACCGTGTTATTAGCATCTAAAAAAAAGTATATGTATATATAAAGTACGGTCGTCAATTTAAATAAAAAAAGTTAATTTAGTTGTTCATGTTAATATTTGCAAACGGAAATATTATGGTGCTTCATAAGAGGTCAAAGAACGGCAGTAAAGGAACTCATAAAACCAAAACACCAGAAATTACCCCACAAGGTGTCGGCCGATATGCGCTCGACCGTTTTGCGCCTTTACCTGAAATCGGCCGGTTTGCGCTCTAACACTTTCTTAATGGAGATGTATAGCTAATTATTTTCTTATATTGACCGTTTTGCGCTCTCTTGTAACCGACGTTTAATTTTATTCTACCATAACGATCAAGTAACGGTTAGGCTAGTAAAATTAGTTTCAAAAAATCATAAAACTATCAAAAAATAAAAATAAACCATCTTCACTTCACATTTTCATTAGGGCTTAGGACTGTCATAGTTTATACATAATTAAACATTGGCGTGTTTAGAAGGTTTTTTTTTTATTTTTTCATTTTTATTTAAAAAGTTAGTTTTTTTTTACTTTTTTTGTTTTTTTTTTCAAACTTTTTATACAGTAAAATACAAAAAATTCTTGGGAATAAAAAATTGTCTATTTATTGCAGCTTCTGGATATATGCCAATGTCCTTAAACACAACCTTATGTCCCTTGTATCTTTATATTTCTGTAAAGTTTTGAATATTCTTTCAAGATTAGTACATGTTTTCTTGCGCCGCTTTCCATCTAGATTGAAAGTAAATCGATCATAAAGGTGATCACAATATTCTGCTTCTTTAACCAGACACTTCACTAATTGGAATACATTGGGATGTGGTCTTATTAATGTATTCAGACGATGATTCCAACCTTCTAAAACGTTATTATTGCGATGTCTTTGATCATGGCAATTCCACATTTCTTTGGTAATGTGAGTATTGGCTAATCATTGTTTGACAAAGTAGTCATAAAACTGTTCCATTTTTTCAGAAATAGGAGAGGTTTCTTGAATGCATAACCAGCCATCATCGATATCTTCTATGGGTAGATACGCTAACGCAGCACACACTCTTATGTGCAAACGTATCTCTTCGTTGTCAGGTTATTTAGAAACAAGACCAATATTTTAAACAGTTTTCCACCCACATTGATTGAAATGAAAATTACAACCAGGAATTTTGGCTTCGGTAAAATAATTTTCTAAGGCACCAATCACTGCCTGTTCAGAATCCAGTTTTATAAGAGATGGTTTTCAATTTGGTAGTTTCTCTTTCATTGTTGAAAATAACATATCGCATGTCTCTTGGGTTTGGTTAGGAAGTAATGCAAATATTAATGGAATTGTATTTGTCTCCTCTGACGTACTACCAATATCGATATCAATGGTATATATTTGACTAAATTACTTACTGCAGCTTTTGAATGTTCCATCCATAAATACAGTGTCCTTACTGTTAACCAAAATCTCCCTAGCTTTGTTGCTAACAAACACCAAGATTCTGTATTCCGAGGGAGTGGTCTTGTCGATAAATAAAAATTTCGTTTTGTCGCTCATTGTAATAATTTCTTCTGGAAATACTATTTCGGACACTGCCGCTAATCTGTGAGCAGCCCATGCGCACGTTTTCTACAATCGTTTAAACCACTTTTCACTGAAGAGAAATTTGGGATGTCTGTCACGAAATCCAGTCCTTGACTATATAATCTTAGAAATTCATCTTGATATATTTTTGACATCGGCAAATAACTACTATTGTCTTCCCTAGCTCTTTTTCGAACTGCTCATACATGTTTACATGTAATGACTTAGTGGGTATGTCCTATGTTTAAATATTATTTTAATTGTGACGTCTACGTGTTAATACCGAATTTTTACATGCTTGTCAATATTATTTCTTGAAAAAGGCATGGATTTTCTGCAGAAACGTCGGAAAAAAATATATAAAAATGTCTTAGTATCAAACTAAATTGTTTTATGAACCTAAGCCCAAGAGAATCCACTAAAAAATATATATTAAGGTTCAAGAACTAAACTCAAACTATATATATATATATATATATATAATATATATTATATATATATATTATATATATATATATATATCATCATCATCATCATCAGTGGTTTGACCTTCCCCAGTCTATTTCTATTTCGCCAGTCGTTTCTGTTCATCGCCAACCGTTGCCAATTTGCCGCGCCGATCTTCCTTGCTATATATATATATAATATATATATATATATATATATATATATATATATATATATATATATATATATATATATATATATATATATATATATATATTTATATATATTTATATAATAATTTAGGCGGTGCGCCCTTCCGGTAGGGATCTATGGAGGAGTATCACCGAGCCGCAAGCCCTTATCTCTTGCCGTACTGCTCCACCATAGGCCGATCAGACACCAGTATATTCTGGTCTAAGCCGCAGATTCGTTTAGAATTTTAAACTGTTGCGTCAGCCTTTCTGTTTTTTGTATACCGAGCTGGGGATCGAACTCACATTCAGTGAATCACTCGCAGTGAAGGGAATGAGAAATCGACCGCCCAGCGCGCTTGGCTATCAAACCGACGGTAAATCAATTTTAGATGGACAACTTACAGAACCTGTAGAAATAGACAGCAAAATAAGACAACAGGACTTAGTAAGACATTCCTTACCGATAACGCGCCGCTACAAGACTTTAGCTAATCGCCAACGACGCTCTCGCACGTTCAGACTTTTATTGATTCTGATCTTGAAATATTCTTGAAATATTAGTAACAAAAAGAGAGGTAAAAGATATAATGGGGAAAGTTATGAAAAAACGGTGTAAAACTTGAAGCGAACTAAATATCCGTAAAGATACAATTTACGAATGCAAAATCTGTCCCGATAACCCTGGAGTTTGTCTGGATTGCTGTCAAATTTCAACATTTAAACCTTAGTTTTGTTTTATATATCTATATGTTATTTTGTATTATTTTGTATTAGTAAATAAATGATCCTATTAAAATTGATTTTTATCAATATTATTTACAAAAAAAAAATCAAAAATCGTGGTCGGAGAATATGCAAACTTTAGCCAACAAGAAGAAAACTGCTTATCAGAAATGGATATCAACGAGAAATGATGAAAATTACAAGATATATCAAAAATTAAATCGAGATACAAAAAGAGAAGTAGTGAAAGTAAGAATGAGATGTGGAATCGAAGATGTGCAGAGGTGGATACGTATATGGGTGGAACAAGAGTTGGGCAAGCTTGGAAGGTGATAAAGTCTCTCCGGAGGAAAGGAAAGGAAAAATCTAACTTACAGTTAATAGATCTGAAACAGTGGATACACCATTATGAGGTCTTACTGACAAAGGATAGATATAAATTCCAAGAGATCGAAATGGAAGAAATATCCGAACACACACAAATAATTGAGATAACAACCGGAGAGTTAAACGATTCACTCAAAATATCAAAAAACAGTAAAGCAGCAGGACCTGGAGACATTCTAATTGAGTTGGTAAAGTATGGACCAAAAATATTACATGAGAAGTTGGTTCAACTATTTAACAAATGCAAAAAGAGATCGAAAGATAAGTGAAGACAGTAGAAGAAAATGTAACGTTCAGTGTATAAATGAACGGACACAAAATAGAAAAAAAGAATTGAATAACCACATAAGCAGAATAAAGGAGACCCGTGTCGTCAAAATAGCAAGTGATAAGTCACAAATCGGCAAAAGATTTATCGAATAACCGCACATAAGATGGGGTGACAACCTTCCATAGAGGTATTAATCCGCCAAAGTTCAGTGTTACTCAAATATTGTCAAACGTAGGCGATACATCTTGAATATATCGAAATGTTTAAGACTATACTGTAAATTGTAAGATCCGATTAATAGGAGTGGCCTTGTGCTTGTAAGAATTCTCTAGAATTTTTGTTTACTACACAAAATGTTATCTTAATGGAGCGAGTAGTTTTTAAGTAACAGTTTATACAATATCATAATATTTGCAGAATGCTTAAAGTCAGTGTAAATATTTTGAATTGAGATTTTAATTCTTATTATAATTGTTAGCCCTCTTCTTTTAATGTTAACGTTGTAACAATTATAATTTGCTTATAGGATACCAAAAGGGGAAACTAAACAATCACCGTGCTTAAAGGTAAATAAATTGAAATGTTTGCGAACGGCTACTAGTGTTTTGATTGGAGAGCTAGGTCGTGGATAAGAATTCCTTAAAGATATGTCCTGGGCAACACTACATAAAAAGATTCTTAAACTATGTATTTAAAATTAGGACTAATAAATTCCTCTTGGTGCTAAGAAAGAAAAGCTTATGGTTTTTCTTTCCTTAAAATGTTAAGGTTTAATATATTTTAAACGAAATAATTTCCCAAACTCCTAGTTTAGGAAATTAAACCTTCTAGCAAAATAGAGTTTAAAACTATAGTTATGTACCAAATGGCAGAACATGATGTACCAACTGTTATATGTCGAAATAAAATACCAAACTTTTCTGAACTATTAATTAATTATTTGTAAAATAGCGAATAAAATTTAGAACGGAAACGTTGACAGGCATTGATTGTACGTTCAAGTGATGATCTGTTGTCCACCAAGTAGTCAGCAAATTGTTGTAAGTACGGCTTTGTGTTGTGCTGGCAACTTCTCACTAAAGTCTAAAGCAAAACACTCACCTACATCTAATAGATCTAAAGAAGGTACACCAAATATCCATCTAAGGTATTATTCCATATTATTGTCCAAAGCGTTATATATTAACGTGGAGATTTAAAATGCTTAAACCAAGTACTTTGTGAAATAACTGGTTAAAAAGTGCTGTATCTTGTATAGTTTGTAAAGCTGTAAAGATTCCACTGATCTTTTCATGTCGATAGCTGGTTTTAGATCGTAATGGAATCTAATACACATAAAGAATATTGCTTCTAGTTTACTTAAAAGTGTTAAGTTGGAAACAACTTAACTTAAAACAAGAAAATACAACAAATTTTTGTACTGGATCATTTTTTAATAAAAATTGTTCGTTTTTATTGTTTGTCACTTCCACGAAGTTCAATTAGTCAGTTCAAATGTACCTTCATCTACTACAGTAAGAGTTTCAGTGGCAGCTCTGTGTATCAACTTCAGTGAATTTTTACTTTGATAGTCCATTGTCTTCGGTTTTACACCATTACTGAATTTTTGCCAGTTTAACAATGTTTTTGATAAACTTTTATTTGTGGTTATCACTACATTCAACTACACTGTTACCAACATTTAGAGTTTTAACAAATGATTTGTAACTTATTTTTACACGCCAAGCATTGCACACAGTACGGCTTTTTAGCCTAACATTTCGCCTATCTAAAATTTTTCCATGCTGTACTAAAAATTTTCAAACCGCAACTAAAGTAATAATATTGAGATACGCACCACCCCTAATTGTATCATAAAATTTCAGGTGAAATAATAATTACCAACCATTTTTAAGAAATATAGTACTTGCAATTTCTGATAGCGTTATAAAATTTTAAGTAAGAAGTAGTTTTCTATTCAGGTAACTACAAAGTTTGAGAAATATTTATTAAACATTTAATAAGTAAAATGTATTAAAGTACATTTATGAAGACAACATTCTCTAGTTACGCTGACCCTTGCTATTCATTACTATTAATTGTATATATATAATAAAGGCATTTTATTATATATACAATTACACTTTTTTTTCTAGGAAAGACATGGCTGTAGCGCAAGGCCATAAGTATCACCGATCAGCCTTAAACCATTTGAGTTTTGTAGATCACATATCAGATAATATTTAAGAACTAACTTTAGTAAAACAAAAAAAAGAGCCAGGTAAAGACAAATATAACAATAGAAAACCATACTATAGAAAATGTTTAACATTGTGTATACCTGGTAAATGTCATCAAAGGGGGAAGACGAAATCAAGTAAATTGAAATCATGGTAAAATTAAAAGAAAAAGAAAGAGGACTCTTCAGAATTTTGTGCTATTTTTGTCTTAGGTCATGTAGTCATTAAAGAGTTTGTAATTTTTTAGCGAAATGGTTTAATAAGAAATAAAATCTTGCAATATAGTTAATAGGTGTAAATTAAAAAAAAAATTTAAGAAATAATGGAATATCTTACCAACTAACACTATGGTATATTAAAAAACTTTTAAAGCAGCTTATAATTTAACCATTACTAATATTTACAAAAATCATTAATTATTAATAAATATACTATATTAACAATCTTACTATTTTTTAATCATACGTTTGAACTTTAAAATACTTACAATCTCCTCGAAGCCACACTTTTACCTGACTTTGCTGTAAAGTGTCCTCATCGGTGGCTTCTTGCAGAAAAATTCTAGTTACCAAAGCAAGTGAATAGTTTTTTGTGAAGTGCAATATAGCCCACACATCGCCTTTTTGAAAGCCATCTTGCGCCTCTTCTGTTGTTGCGTAATATTCCTTTTCTGTAGTGTTAGGTATGCTTAGGAGTAAAGGACATGGAAGGTTTGAAAAAAGACATCCAGAACGATACGAACATGGCTAAAATAACAAACGTATGACAATTTTACAATTATGTTTACAACCGAAATCATGACATGAAACTTATGAATTATATTGTTTAGCAAAAGATTTGCATCTCATGTCAATGCATGGTGCAAGTTGATTTATAAAATTTTTAAATCACAAATTTTTTATAGTAATAAATACATTGTCTTATGTATAAATTATATAACTCCTTTAATAACGGTCCAGATACTAAAGGAAGAGGGTGATGGGTTAGGAAATGGGTCTTCATATTTGTAAGTCACTACTGTCTTTAAATGCCAATCATTACTCTAGTCAACACATGACTCTGTCTGTTTTTCAATGTGCCTCCAGTAAGTTGTTATTTTATCATTTTCGTGGTCATCCCTCTGATCGTATTCCTTTTGGGGAACCGTCTCTTGCCATCTTTATTACTCTATTTATTATCATTCGGATTATATGATCGTTCCATTCTACTCTTCTATTGCTTACCCACTTCTTGATGTTTTCCACCTTGCATGTACGTCGTATATCTGTACTTCTAGTTGTCCCATAGCGTCTTACCAATAATTTTTTGCCTCTACTGTTTCTAACATCCTGTCTGTTTTAGGTCTTGTTTCTGCCGCGTATGATATTATTGGTCTGATGACTGTTTTGCAAATTCTGCCCTTTTTTTTGTTCCCGTTATTTTTATTTCTCCATATTGTTTTATTCAGGCAGCCTATGGCTCTGTTTACTCTATTCACTTGATCTTCCACTTAAGTTTCTAGCTTTTAGTAGCTAGATAATATAATGCTTAGATGTTTATACTCCATGACTTGTTCTATTATCTGACCATCCAGCTCCAATTTAGATCTTAGTAAATTTGCTGTTGTAACCATGCATTTTGTATTTTGGGGAAATTAACATGTTATTAGTATTGCGTCGTCTGCATCTCTTTTTGTCTTATTTGGTATTCTCTTTTAGTTCTTACTTTTTTTATTACTTCATCCATAATCAGGATGAACAGTAGAGGACTCAGGGAATCTCCTTGTCTTATCCCATTGTCAGCTTTAATAGGGTTGGTTAGTTCTTCTTCTACTTTTACTGTTATTGTGTTGTTTTAGTAGATATTTTCGATCATTTTGATTATTCCTCGAGGTATCTCTTTTGCGTACAGTAAGTGGATAAGGTCTTTTAATTTGTTCTGGTCGAATGCCTTCTTAAGGTCCACAAAACATAGATATGCCGGTTGGTTGTATTTTATTAATTTCTCTTGTTTTTGCCTCATTATAAATACAGCCTTGGTGCATTATCTTCCCGACCTAAAACCTTGTCCTTCTGCTAGTGTTATAATTTCATTTAGTTTATTTTTTATCACTTTGGTTGTTAATTTTAGTGTTGTGATTAATAAATTAATTCCTCTGTAATTTTTCGGGTCCAATTTGTCTCCTGTTTTGTTTGTTTGGTTCTATTATTTTTTGGATTAATTTTAATAGATATTTGATTACATCTGGTCCTCCGTACTTTAGGAGTTTGTTCGGTATTCTGCCCTTTCCTGCTGATTTTCTATTTTTTAATTTTCCTAACGCTTTCTTTACTTTTGCTCAATATTTATTTCTTCGTTTGTCGTCACCTCTGGTGTTGGTGGTTTATCATCGTCAACAAATAGAGATTGAAAGTAGTCTACCCATGTTTCCTCCTGAATGTGTTTCATTTTTAGAAGTTCGTTTATCTCTTTTCTTTGTCCTCTGATCATTCTTTATATTTTTTTTGTGTTTCCTAGAAGTTGTGTTCCATACAACTAAAGTATTCGTTTAATTTCTGATTCATTTATAGTTGTTATATGCCTGTTGTGTTTGTTTTGTTTTGTATTGTAAAAAGGCTTTTTTCTTTTCTTTACATTTTATCGTCACTTCCTTTCTAAACCATGGTGTATTATTTTTTGATATATTCGTCTTCGTTACTATTCTCTGATATTCTTTTCCTGTATAAGTATTCCGTGGATTCCGTATTTAGTCCTTCGACTTCAAATTTTGTTTGTTTTAGCGCAGCTCTTTAGGGTGAGAAGTATTTTAGGATGATTCTTATTTTACATAATACTAGGCTATGGTCGCTACCTATATCTGCTGAGCCACAATTCAAGGTTAAAATAAGTTTATTGATGTTTCAATCTACACTTCGGAAATGGTTTCCAAAGTTGAAATTGAAACGTTAATGAACTTATTTTAACCTTTAATTGTGGTTTATATACATAAAAATAGTAATTACTTTAAAATGTCACAAGAAAATAGCTTCAGAACAGTATTAGAAAACTTGGTAATTACAGACATCTAACTAGCGAGATGTCTGTGATGACTTATGGAGCCGTCTGTGATGACAGCTACAAGTTCTAAAACGCTGCAAATAGCTCAGAGGAAAATGTAAAGATCAATTCTGAGTATATCTAAATGAAGACTAAACACTAAAGACGAAGAACAGGGGGTACCGATGTAATTTCCCGAATTGCCACACTAAAATGGAACTGGGCCGGACACGTCGGCCGAATCAGTGATGAAAGGTGGACGAAGAGATTACCTGAGTGGAGGCGGCCGAGATTAGACAAAAGAAGTAGAGGAAGACCACCTACACGATAGACTGACGATCTAAAGAACATGTCAAGAAATTGGATGAAAAGTGCTCAAGACAAAGCACAATGGAGAAAAAAGAGGGAGGCCTATGTCCAGCAGTGAACGCAAAGGGCTGGGTGATGATGATGAACTAGCGAGAAGGTACCAATAGTTCCCAACAAAGTGCCCTCCTAAATTGTAGCAACCTCAAGAGTACCTATAGATCGTGACCACAACAAAAAAGTAAAACAAAAACTTAAAATAACAAAGTCTCCGAAGTCTGCATGCCCACCTACATCTGAACACTTTGACGAGTTTACTCTAGAAGCAATCACCTCAGTTATATCAGAAACTAAGTCTGGAAAGGCACCCTGTTTTGACAAATTACATCCACAATTTTTACTTGGAAATAGCTGGTTAATTTCTATTTAGATATCGTGAAGTCGAGAGAAATCTCCCACATATTGTGGCCATATTAAAATCAGGAAACGCAAATAATCAGCCTGAAAACTACCAACTGATTATACTGCTTAGCTGTGCCTATAAAAAGTTGGAAAGCTTAATTCTGAAAAGAATTAGTAAAAACATATTTAAATTGATACCCATTGAGGAAGCAGGGTTTAGACCTAACCGCAATTGCACAGATCAGATTTTATCTGTGCATCCCTGCGTACCCTGTAGGAGAGACACCGCAAAAGCACAATTTTTTTTAATATTTTTTAGTATAGGACAAAACCTTTTTTGTTTCAATGTTTATTTTTAATTTTTAAATACTTTGTGTAGTATTTTGCTACTTTTTCAATAAAAATTATCCTTTTACGCGACTTTGATTCTGTTTTTTGAAAAAGTGCGGCAACTCTCCATACATTAACCTCGTATTTTAATAACGATTTTTATAAGTGATTTTTTGACTGAAAGTGTAAACATCGAAAACATATAATTTTTATTAAAATCGTTGTAGTTTATTTCGAAAAATATAAAATTTTCAGTATAAAACATATCACAAGCAAATGGTTACAGAATAACATAAAGTTATAAGAGAAAAAAGAATTATTTTTTATTGTTATTAGTAAAAAGGGATGTAATTACCTGATAACTTTTATTGATATAAGTTTGTTCCTCATTTACAATTGCTATTTTATTCGGACCTGTATATGTTCCAACACAAAAGCTGATTATCACTAGTACTACACATACTTCGTACATACGTTGTATGTTTTTCATCGTTGCTACAAATGAATACAATACAATTGACTACTTTCACGTATTTTTTATTGTGACAATAATTTGTCCACGTATAATCTTATACGTTTTTCCATATAGATCTATTCTAAATACAATATTATTTCCCCTTTAATTTATCTAACCGGTAAAGGAATGATACTTTATGTTAACCTAAGAAACATTGGAAAATCCATAAAAAACTAATAATGAATTTAATTCTGACTATAAAAATTAAATTTCTAATAATAACTTACTGAATATAAATAAATTGAATAACATTTTCTAATGTATTTCTAAATAATTATTTTTTTAAATATATATCCTTTAATGATAAAAAAATATAGTTTTCAGAAAACACGGATTTTCAAATTGGACCAGAAAAATTACACAGGAATTAATTTATTAGACACAACACTAAAATTAACAACCAAAGTGATAACAAACTGAATAAAATTATAACACTAGCAGAAGAACAGGGCTTTAGGTCGGGAAGATCATGCTCCGACGATATATTTATAATGAGGCAAGTGCAAAAGAAATCATTAGAATACAACAAACCGGCATATCTATGCTTAAGAAGGCATTTGACTGGCTCAAATTAAAAGACGTTATCCACTTACTGTACATAAGAGAGATACCTCTAGGATTAACCAAAACGATCGAAAATATCTACCAAAACAACACCATAAATGTAAACGTAGAACAAGAACTAATCAACTAATCAACTAATCAACCAGCAAATTTGCTAAGATGTGTATTGGAGCTAGAAGCGCAGATAATAGGACAAGTGATGGAGTTTAAATATTTAGGCATCACATTATCTACCCACGGAAATCTCGAACCTGAAGTGGAAGATCAAGTGAATAGAGCAGATCCGCAGGCTGCCTGGATGAAATAATATGGAGAAATAAAAATATCGGGAAAAAATGAAAGACAGAATTTACAAAACAGTCATCAGACCAATAATTACATACGCGGTAGAATCAATACGTGACACAAAGAGGACAAAAAGGATGTTAGAAACAGCAGGGATGAAAAGTCTTAGAAAAATTGATGCTAAGATACAATGGGAGAGATCTAGAAGTACAGATATACGACGTAGATGCAAGGTGGAAAACATTAAGAACTGAATAAGAAATAGAAGAGTAGAATGGAACGATCACATAAGCCGAATGACAAAGACGGCAAGAGACGGTTTATTAATAGGAAGGCGGTCACTAGAAAGACCACGAAAACGATGGAATGATAACTTACTGGTCACATCCTGATAGATGCAAGGCACTCTTCCGATCTTATAGACGTCAGAAGCTACCGAGGCCTAAACATTGACAGTAACCACTTTCTTGTAATGGCAAAAATCAGAGGAAGAATATCAAATCTAAAGAAAGATAAACACACGAAACAAGACAGAATTAATGTTGATAATCTGCGCATTGAAACCGTTTCGAGAGAGTATAGAAGACAAATGAACGAGTAAATGGAGAGCCTGGAGGTGGGGGAAAATGTAGAGGAACTGTGGACAAAATGTAAAAACATAATAACTGAGAAATCAACAAAAATTTTGGGGAAAACCAAACCAGTTAAAGAAAACGAATGGTTTGATAAGGAGTGCCAAGAAGCAACAGATAACAAAAACAGGGCATACCTAAAGACAAATCACGCTGGATGCACAAGAAGAGCAAAGGAAGAATAGCGGACACTAAGAAGAGAAGAAAAACGATTACATAGAAGAAAAAAAAGACAATTTGAGCAAAAGCAAATGGAAAGCACAGAATGGCTAAGAAATCAAAATGAAACTCGAAAGTTCTACAGAAATCTAAACAAAATGCGCAAAGAGTTTAAGCCAAGAATAAGGAGCTGTAAGGATGTAGAAGGAAACATCCTAATGATACGGTCTCAATCCTAAACAGATGGGTTGAATTTTTCGATGCAAAATTGAATGGCCATCATATGGAAGAAGCAGATAACACCCTAGCAAATCGAAATGATTGGAATCCTGTCAACCCAAACGAAAGACCACCTACCATCGAAAACGTTGCCCAAGCCATTAAAAATAAAGCTTAAAAATAATAAATCACCAGAAGTTGATCAAATTTGCAGTGAGCTATACAAGAATGGTGGCGATGCTCTACTACAGACACTGCCTAACTTTTACTTTACGTCTCATTTTGTTTGGCATAATGAGACCATGCCTTGTGAATGGTCTCAAGGCGTGATATGCCCGTTACATAAAAAAGGTGACCAGCTCCAGTGTGACAACTATAGAGGTATAACCCTGTTAACAACTGCTTACAAAATACTAACAAATATTCTCTACGAAAGGTTGCAAGTTTACACAGTGGGCATAGTTGGTAAATATCAAGCTGGATTCACTCCAGAAAAATCAACAATTGACCAGATTCACGCAATAAGACAGATTCTCGAGAAAACATTAGAATTCAATATTGAAACCCATCACCTATTCGTCGACTTCAAGGCCGCATACGACAGTGTCAAGAGAACAGTGCTATACCAATCAATGCATAAGTTTGGTATACCAGAGAAACTTATCCGAATAACAAGAATGACAATGTCTAACTTAGAAGCTACTGTTAGAATACAGGGAGAGAGTTCTAGATCCTTTGAGATAAAGGATGGACTCACACAAGAAGATGCTCTGGCTTGCCTCCTATTTAATATTGCCTTAGAAAAGGCAGTCCGAGATACACGATCAAGGGATGGCGGTACTATTTACAATAGATCGATACAAGTCTTAGCATATGCTGATGACATTGACATAGTAGGGCGTAGCAAGCGAGATGTTGAGCAATATCTCCTAGAATTGGAAATAGCGGCGAAACAGGTCGGTCTAGTCATCAACGAAGACAAAACCAAGTACATGTTGGTTTCAAAGGATCCGATAGCAAATGAGGAACGAGAAACAGTGTTTGGAAGTCATACCTTTGGACGTGTTGACAACTTCATATACCTTGGGTCGCTATTGACTGCTACCAATAAAACAAGCGAAGAAATCAAAAGACGAATAAATCTTACAAATAGGGCATACTATGGACTCCAAAAGCATTTCCACTCAAGAAACATTTAAAGAAGAAGAAAAAGAGGTTAATCTTTGTAAATGGGTATATTTATTTAAAAAACCCTTAAAAGGGCCACATCAATAAAACAAACGTTTTCGGACTACACAGTCCATCATCAGGTTATTAAAATCGAAAATGCTAGGTCATAATGCCTGAGCCACCAAAATATTAGGGTAAAAACCCTTTAAATTACATTTAGTTATGAAATGTTGTACATTGTGTTATAAAATAATTGTGATGTTCAATATTAAATTAAATTTGACTAAAGGTAACACATGGCTCAATTGGGTTCCAGAGCCGGGTGAGAGGGTACCTCTGCACTCGGAGAACAACGTGGAACTGATTGTTCCACAAAAATCAGAAGATGGCAACATGTTGCTAAAAACCGAACAGAATGGCGACGAATCTTAGAGCAGGCCAAGATCCACAGAGGATTATCGATCCAAAGATGATGATGATGATAACTTAATGGAGGCACATTGAAAAACAGAGTCATGTCTATATAAAAAGAAGAAGAATTAAAATAAGAAAGCATGCAAGCAATAGTAGTTGACATAAAATGTAGACACTTACATTAGTGATGTAAAAAAAGTACCCACAAGTTACAAGGTAACGGGTATTTGTCCAATACCCAAAGTACAGATTCCTCGTTGTTAGAAATACTCATTACTTTTGGTACAGATAACCATTTCTGCCCTGCTAAGCTGAAAGGTCCTATCTACCAATTGTACTATTTTGAGAAAAATGCAATTAAGTTTAGTTTGCTGCGCCATCCGTAATATTAATGATATTGAACTGTAATTTTGAATGTACTTAATTTCTGTATATAGTATTTATGGGATAATCCAAGGAAGTAATTAGTTTAGAGCATACATGAGTTTTGATAGATAGGACGGTTTAGCTTAGGATTTTATTAAAAATCTCAGATAGGACAAGATTTTTTTATAACGAACTTTTATTGGACTTAAAACGAGACATTCAGTTTTTACATTGCATTAGTATATCCCTCTAATGTTGTAAAAAAACTTATATTACTCCATTTTCGTGTTCTTCAGCTACATAGCCTACCGGTAATTCTTCCCAAAACTGTCTCCAGTTGACTGGAGGTGGAATTATAGTTATAGCAGCAACTTCTGCGTTCTCTCTTGACTATTTCTTCGGATTGAGGTTTGTGGAGGTGGAAGTGTCACACCAGTTTTAAATGTAGCTACAGTTAAAATTAGTTTTGACCCTTTTTAATGATTTTTCTACCTGGTGGTGAAAATGGTCCGCGGACATAAACGTGTGTCCGTGCTCAAAATATTTTATGGTTAATTATTTTAAGTTAACTTCTGTAGCATTTACTATATAAACTAAAAAGCTGAACAAACTCCAATTCTTGTTCTTGTTCTTATCCAGCCAAATTGTTATTGATTCTTTATTCCTGGTTTTTAGGAAGAATGCGTAGAAAGTATATATCTTCTTCACTATATCTCTTTTTCTTCTTCCTGATATTCCTTTGTGTCACAGAATTACTAAAGCACGGACGTCCCTATCTTTCCCGACAGCAACAAAACTTCCGTTAAAAGTAATTATGCGCCTAGTAAACATGACTTATTTAAACATATTTGCTCTTGAAAGCATTTACTTTCGGAAGATCTGCTAAAACTATGAGATTGATGATTTTAGTTGGGATTTTGCATGTTTTTCGTACTTTTTCTGACATTTATATATTTATTTTTGTGAGATACATAGTTTTCACACACTACACAATTGTGTGATGGAATATGATTGGTTTCGGTCTTATGGAGATCATATGATGCACACTGAAAGCACTCTTCACAGCCAAGTTGTACAAACGATATGTTAAGTTTTCCAATTTCCTGACGATAGGGTTCATAACTACCCTGACAATCAGGATTCTTTATTTTGTAGTCATTGT